GCTTTAAATATTGTCTTTTAATGATATAGTCTGCCTTGGGTCCTTTTTAAGGAGACAGGTGGGTAAAAATAAGTCCAGGCAGGAGCTTGTGCTTCCCTTCCCTGCCTCCTCCAGCAGCTGAACACTCAGACAAGGAGGTGGGCTGGGGATTCTTACTGTGCAGCCCTTGAGTGGTTGGCTGCCAGAGGAGGCGGGGAAGGGAAGCCTGAGCTCCTGCCCAGCCTGGATAACCAATATAGAAGGAGGACCCCAGCAGTGCACAATGGATTGAGATTGGGCAGCTGACCGGTGTGTAATGGGCAGAGGGAATACGCGGTGCCTGTGGTGATGCAAGTATGAATTTTGACAAAGCGTGATGAAGCACTGTGTGCACATCTAAATTTTACAGTGGGATACTTGTCTCTCAGCTTCCTGAGTGTAGGCCATTATTTCCATTTTGACAACCACAGTGCCTGCCCTTTGAGAAGGTAAGTCATGGTTGTTTGTTTTGTCTCACTAACCTCACTAGCCAAACCCTCCCCTTGCTTCACCCAATTAGCACATTTTATGCCTTAGGTCTCTGGCTGAGAAGCCAGAAGTTCGGAGTCCGATTCCCCACAGGCCTCCTTCATAGGGGCTGGCTGGATGATCCACCGGATCTCTCCCAAGCTCTGCAATTCTAAGATTGCCCACATCCTAGGGCACATCCTTTTGACCCCCCAGATGCTTAAGAACTGCCTATCGAAACGAGGAGGTCTGCTGCCTTGCTAGCCCCAGGAGTCAGGACTTCTCCTGTTAGTCACTTCCATAGCAATGAAAAACATATCACTCTGTATATGTTTTTGCATGCATGCAGTCAGTCTACTACCATTAATGAATTACGAATGATGCTTTTAAATTCCTTATATTTTTACTAAATCAACTGTTATTTTCATTCCCCTTAGCTTGGTGCTTTAAACAATGTGTTCCAGTGCCAGGCCAACCTGTGCAAAGGGCACCTGTTAACAAAAAAGGGGTCCTGGGATTGAGGCCCCCGTCTGGGACTCAGTAGCACATTCTTGAAAGCTTACACATTCTATTCTTGAAAGCTTACACCCAGTAGAGTTGGGATCCCCCTCCCTGCCCTGCAGGATTACTTCCCTATGTTTGTGAAGAATTCAGAGAGCAGGAAAGAAGGAGAAAGGGTTACTTATGCAAGCATCATCCAATGAATAGGGCAGGACAAATGAATTTCCAGTTGCTCCCTTATTTGGGATAAAATGCTCCTGGCTATGTACTTTAAGCCTTGCACGCCAGCCTGACCAGGTAGGACACCCGAATAACGAAAAGAGCAAACACAGCCGTTGTGGGCTAAAGGCACTTCCTTTAAACACTCAAACTCTTAATCCGCAAGGATCACACTGGGGTAAACAAAAGAGTTTCAAATTCTACTGTTACGTGTTAATCTGCGGCTTAAGTTAGTTTAACTGTATGTTCCGCCGAGCGCTCCCTCTGCTCTCCCGGGACGGCGGCGTCAGAGGGAGGGGGGAGCTCGGGGAGACGGGTGGTGGTGGTGTGAAGCCAGGAGGCTGGTCCAATGGGAAAAAGGCGCGGGCGCTGACCAGCCAGTTGCCAGGCGAACCTGCCCCGCCCCGAAGCCTCAGCAGGAGAGGGAAGTGGGCGGGGAGGAGAATGAGAGCCGCTCATATCCTGCCCCTTCGAGGAGGTTTCTGCCTGGCGACTAATGACGCCGCCTCGTCTCTCAGGGCTGATTGGTCCCAAGGGCGAAGGGGGCGGGGCGTGGGCGGCTGGCGTTCTTTTCCCCCCAGGCTGAGCCCCGACAGTCCCTCTCAGTCCTTGGGGAGGCGAAGGGTCGCCTGCGCTCGCTTTCTTTCTCAGCCGCCCAAGGGGAAGGCGTCTGCGATGGGCTTTGGAGTCCTCTTCGAGGTGAGCCTCATGGGAATGATAGTCCTGGTCCTCCCCTCGGAGACGCACAGCGCGCCGGAGCCCCCAGGTGAGTGAGCCTCTCCCGGGATGCGGCTTTGCTCTTAGCCCTTGCGGACCCCCCTCCCCAATTTTCCCTAAAACCTTTCCTCGCATAGGACGGGTTGCCGTCCAGGTGAGTCCGGATCCCCACGCGGCGGAGGAGGTGAGATAGCTTTGGCCCAACAGGCACCGTCCTCCGACCCTCATTCACTAGGTCCTGCCCCTTGGTGGGGGGGGCTCCTCGTCCAATATTCCCCCCTCCCCAGTCCCTGCTCAGACAAGAAGGGAGGCCCCGACATGCCCCCCCCCCGCATCCCCTTGACCCGCTCTACGCCTTCAGTAAGTAGCGATGGGGTTTTCCGAGTCCCTGCAGAGACTCTTTCCAAGCAGGCACGACCCAGAGGACAAGGGAGGGGACAGGAAAGCCCTCCACCACCACCCCCGCCACCCCTGGACGCTGGTGCGGGGGGGGGGCAAACAGCAATCTATCCCACCTGAAAAAGGAATTTCACTGCAGGAAAGACTCTTACTTTCCTTCCCCCCCACCCCGTATTGTCACCTCTCAAGCACCCCCATCTCCCTTGTTTTGGACCCACCAGAAAGGCCAGGGGCTGCTTCCAGCATCATCTGCCCCCCCAACCCCACCAGTCAGCCCTTAATCCCCAAATCCAGCTGCCTTAAGCGGGAGAAAGTCTTCGTAGATTTACAGGGGGGGGGAGAAAGCAGAAGAGTTCCTGAACTTGCCGCAGAGTCTTCTCCTGTGTGAGAAATGCCCAGCAACACCTTTTGTGTACAATGGACCAGATGCGTCATCCGAGCACCTTGATATTTTTGATGCTATTTCTGGTTTCCTTGCTAGAAGGGGCTACAGGCATCTGGGCTCAGAAATGAATCTGGCAGCACACCCCATTTCAGGGTCTCCCTTCCAGCTGAGCAGGCGTTGCCCCTTGAGGCCATGGGCAGAAAGGGAGAGACTGCCCTGAGGAAGCCACCAGGGAGATGCCTTTGAAGGAGGAGGGAGATGCGAGGATGGTCGGTTCTGCACTCAAAAGGTCACCCTTTTTGTCCGTTTTTCCCCTCAGTTGCCCCTTCAGCCAAAGTGTACCCCAAAGACCCTGTGGAGCTGGGGGACCCCAACGTGCTCATCTGCTTTGTGGACCAGTTCTTCCCCCCAGTGCTGAACATCACCTGGAGGAAGAACGGGCAGGTGGCCTTGGAGGGCGTGCAGGAGACGGGCTTCCTCCCCAGCGTGGACTACACGTTCCGCAAGTTCTCCTACCTGGCCTTCGTTCCAGAGGAGGGAGGCATCTACGCCTGCCAAGTGGACCACTGGGGCCTCCAGGGGAGCCTGACCCGCCTCTGGTGTAAGCAGGATCGGGTTAAAGGATTCCTCTATGCCTTAGCAAACAGGAATCCTTATTCTGACCTAGTAAGATCAGCCCAGTTTATGCATCTCAGACATACTTGCCTTCTTGCTTCCTTTTATTCTCTTGTGGCTCAGTCCTCTGTGGCCACCCACTCAAAGAAATGTAATAAATACATGATGGAGGTGAACAGACACCTATGCAATGTTTTATTCCACTGTCTTAGCCATTTTCCTTTTCATCTTTATTTTCAAGTCTAATAACTGCTCTGTGTCACATCTCTAGGCTTCTTTCTGTCCAACTAACAGTGGGGTACAAGGGGGGGTATTCAAAGAGAGTCCATTCTTACCATGCTTTTCACATTCCCCAGATGCGAAAGAGCCAGCCCTTATCCCAGAGACGCCAGAGAACATACTCTGTGGCCTGGGCTTGGCCATTGGCATTCTGGGCATCGTGGTTGGCACCGTCTTCTTCTTCAAAGCCCTGAGGATGAACCAGAATCATCAGAGGAGCAGCACCTGCAGGGACGGCTTGTGAGTGGCATCCCTTGAATAAGCTGGACTCAGAAAGTGGCCGCACGGGGCTGAGTGCCAGGGAAGGGAGCATCTGTGGCATTCTTGAATTTTGCTATGAGAAGCTGATGATCAGAACCGCAGTCAGCTCCAGGTCTTGTTTTTGCTGACTGTATAGAGCTTCTCCATCTTTGGCTGCAGAGAATATAATCAATCTAAATAAATAAATTAATTAATTAATTAATTAAGGTGGAGGGTGGGCAGGTTGGCCTCATCCTGCCCAGGTGAGGCTCGAGCCTTATTAAGAAAGTTCCGTTCCAGAGAGAAAAGCCTGAAGCCCAGTCCTGGCTAAATCGCTTTGTGTTCCAGGGAAGGCAGGCAAAAGGAGAGACAGAACCCAGGTCTCTTCTGCAGGAAGGTGAGAACGAGGCAGGCCAGAAAGAGTCTTGAATGAGAGACCCTGAGAACATCTTCAGTGGAACAGGAGATGCTGGAAGGAAGCAGAAGCCAGGAGGTTTAACAGAGGACAGGAGGGCCTATCCTGACCCCTAAAACTGCCTGATTTTGGTTCTTTTGACCTGGAGAGGCGCTGAGCGGTGATGCTCTGAGGATGCCAGGCCAGCTGTTGCCTTTTAACCAGTCCTCCTTCTTCCTTTCCAGATAATTGGGCAACAGAGAGAAGAGCTACTTTTCCCAGATCCTCTCCATCAGCCGTCCTTCCTTCCACAGCATTCCACCCTCACCTGCTGAATCTGCTCTCTCTCCTCTGTCTGCTCCAACAACTCCCAGTGCCTTTGCCACCTTTTGGACCCTGGCCTTCCCAGCAACCAGTGCCTGTGGTGGGGGTGGGGGTGTCCCTGAAGGATTCATGTTGCCCAAGAGCTGGCCTTTGCCTGCCACAGAATAAGAGACTCGGACAGCCAGTCCGAAACCTCCTGTAAGAGAGGAGCCTTCAGTTCTTTGATTCCCTAAGACAATATCAGGTGGCCCAGAAGTCTGCATGAAGTGTTGAAAAGATATATTCGGGCCCCCACCAAAAAAATCTTCCTTCTCGGACCTCTGCCATCCCAGCTCTGCCTTTCCCGCCTTGCTTCTGTTCTGTCCAGAAAACAATGAATAAAGTGCTTGCTCAGAGCTTCCAAGAGAAGGCCTTGGTTCTTGCTCTTCTTAGATTTCTTCTTAAGGAGGAACTTCCGAAGAATTGCCTGCTGGGATCCATGCCTAAAAGTGAGGTTGATGCCAGGATCTCCTGTAAGTTAGGATGGGTGCCTCTTCCTTCCTAGTCTGAGATGAACTAGATTCCCTGTGGATTTTTCTTTTCTTTCTAAAAGTGTTCATGGCCAGTGATGGAAGATGCGCCCATCAAAGAGAAGAGAAGATACCTTTGACAGTACAGTACGATGAAATAAACCCATCCCAGACAGGGTGGATGTGAAAGGGCTGACCTCCCTGCCTGGCAACGGATGACATTAACAGTCTTGGGGGCTCTGATTGGCTCAGCTCACGTTTCTACTTCAGTTAGATGGAAACGTGCACATACGCCACCAGTTGCATGGCTGGGGAAGTCCCCGGGAGCTAATCTGGGCCTGTTCCGGCATCCGAAAGAAGTGGAAGTGGTGGAAGAAGGCAAGGCCGGTAAGTCGGTTGCTGACCCTCCTTTGTTGGAAGGTCTAACCCAGTGGTTCTTAACCTTTGTTACTCGGATGCTTTTGAACTGCAACTCCCAGAAACCCCAGTCAGGACAGCTGGTGGTGAAGGCTTCTGGGAGTTGCAGTCCAAAACTCCTGAGTAACCCAAGGTTAAGAACCAGTGGTCTAACCCAAACAGTTACACACACACACACACAAACACACAGGCACTGAGCAAGGAAATGGAGAGACTGATATGTAGTTTCTTTGCATTGAATGGTCCAGAGGAAAATCATCATCTACTCCCCAACACACAATAACACACACACACACACAAACACACAGGCGCTGAGCAAGGAAATGGAGAGAGTGACACGCAGCTTCTTTGCACTGAATGTCAGCCACTGAATCAGGCCCAGATTCTGCCCATGCAGTCAGCTGTGAGGCTTCCTGAAGGGCCTACTTGATCCAGTGTTCCCCTCCCTCCGAGGGCCACCCAGATCTCCGGCGGATGCCCATGGAAGGCACCACATGAGGCCCATCGGACCTGAGTCACACACCTCCTGTCTGAAGCACTGAGGGGTCCCCAGGAGGGACTCTTTCCAAGGATGGGCCTCACTTCCCTTGAAAGGTGTCTGAGTCAGTGGCTGTCCTTGTACATGGTGGCAGGGAGTTCCACAGGCTATACCCCCCTTCCCCCCCATCCTTCCCTCTCTCGTGACTGGATTCCTTCTTCCCACTGACCTTCCCTCCCCTTCCCTCAATGGCTTTTCTCATCAAAGCCTTTCCTGAGCCCTGGGCTCTCATCCTCCTTGATCTACTGACTCTGGGAGGGGGGGGCAACATCGCCATTCACTAGGAGGGCTGTGGATGAAGAGCCCTGTGGGACCAAGAAGCTTGCCTTTTCACAATGTTTTTGTGACCCAATCAAAGGATTTTATCAAAACCCTGATTTTGCTGAGTAGAATTTTTTAAATGGAGGGTTGCCCTTTACTGCTTTGAATTTGCTTTGGTGTTGCCTCTGTTGTTGTTGTTTTTTAATTGTATTGCTTTGAGCCTTTTTCTTATTTGTATGCTCATGGCTGTTGGCTTAAATCTCGTTTTTTTTAAACAATGTCAGCTGCCTTGGGTCCTTTGAGGGAAAAGGTGGGGTAAAAATATTAGAAATAAATAAATGAAATAAACCAAAGGCTGCTTCGTTTCTCTATTTTGTTTTCACCCACACCTCCATTCTTCCCTTTAACCCTGGCTGTGAAAAGGCACTCTGTGCATGTTAAGTGGACCTGTCGCTTTATCCCAAGCAGTCTTCAAGCAAAGAGAGATGCCCTTCCAGCCAGTGGATCTTGAAGTGCCTTCCGAGGAAAGCCCAGCCTTTGACAATGTTGGGGCTGGCTGTGAAAAGGCACTCTGTGCATGTTCAGTGGACCTGTCGCTTTCTCCCAAGCAGTCTTCAAGCAAAGAGAGACGCCCTTCCAGCCTTCCGAGGAAAGCCCAGCCCTTGACAATGTTGGGGGTGGGAGTGGGGGTTTCTCAGCGAAACAGCAAGCCCATGGTGGGGAGGGGGGTGCTCGTTACTTCCCAGTCTCTCTTGCACAAAAAAGGGGGGTCACCAGTAAGACCAGGGATCCGGGGGGGCCACGGGTGCTGGGGTGGAGACGGGAGGCAAGAGAGAGGGAGGGGAGAGAAGGTACCTTATCTGGTCAAAGGCCAGGGGAGAGATGCTCCCTCCCCCCCACTTAGGAGGTCAAGCCCTCTCTCTTTCCTCACCTCCTCCGAGGAATTAAAGCGACTTGAGAGAAGGACCAACGGAAGCCCCCCCCCCCAACCCTACCCTGAGGTACTTCTCAGGCTTCAAGGATTTGGACTCTGAGCATCCAAACACCGTTCTTCCTCATGCTTCGTCTGGCTGTGGATGATGGACGAAGTGATGATGGTGGGACCCTTTCAATGCCCGGACGTGTTCTTCCGCTCGGAGCAGGGGTGTGACCGTGTTCTGATGGCCCCCTCCCTCTCGAATGGGGGCTGGGAAAGGAAGGGTTTTTAGCGGGCAGGAGATTCCACGCCTTCGGACCCAGAGGCTCTGCCCAAAACTCCCGAGAGCTGAAAAGCGTGGAGAGGGGTCTGTCTGAGAGCAGGCGGGACATCCTCAGGACAAGACCTCCCCTTTTCTCTGTTTCTCCTCAGGGGGCCCTTGCATTGTTGTTTATGAGTCTGGGGGGGAGTATGAGCAGTACCTCAGGGCGGAAAGGTGTGGGCTCTCCTGCTCACCCCACATACTCCCTTCCCCGGATCTCCCCCCACCGACCCCACCCCTCGGCAATGCAGGGACGCTCAAAAGAGGCCCCCGTTTCGCTTCCCGACGTGCGAGGCTGCGTCCAGTGTTCCAGAAAATGAAGCGGGGAAGCGGGACCCGATCCAAGGGCTTGTGGCCCACAGAGAGGCGACAGGATGAATTGGTTCTCTGCCGCCATTTCGCAGGTATAAACGTCAGAGTAGCACCGTTTCCCGTAAAACTGCTGGGACGAGAAATTCTTCTCTTCTAACCGGTTTCATCCTTGGTTTATAACCACCACCCTCTTAACCCTCCTCCGGAGGCCAGAGACACCCAGAGACCACCGGACACCCCCGGGGGCATTGAGACAATCCCAGGGGTTCCCCCACGAGGGATCCCCTCTTGGTTTCTCCTCCTCCAAGAATCGCCACGTTTCTCCGCAGGACGATTACTAATTTTTATTTAAGTGGATCTTTCCCTAGTCATCTGCAGATTGGAAGAAGTGTGAATAAACCCCGCTGGAGGTTTATGCCAAGCTGAAGTTGTGTTTCACACTGTTATGACAGGGCAAGCGACGAAGTCGCACTGCAGTGAGTGTCCTGCCAGAGTCAAACTTGTGTGTGGAACGTAGGATTCTTTGATAGTAACACCAGCACATTGCCCTGGGGCATCTCCAGTGAAAGGGTCATCTATCCGAAACATCCTACTGATACGCAGACCTTGGTGAGTGGTATTCAGCAAGATGTTGTAGGAAGGAGAGGAAAAGCTGAAGCAGCAGGAGAAGAGGAAGACCAAATGTGAGATGGGTTGACTCCCTCAAAGAACCCACAGGCTTGAATTTGCAGAGCTGCTATTAGTAAGACACAAGGAAGAGCTGGTGCTTTTGAAGAAGGAGGGGTGGAGACAATCTGGATGTCCCTCCAGCTGTTATGGTCCTTCTCTGTTTATTCCAGCTCCCTTTTCTTAGTATTTAGTGAGGAAAGACAATCATCAGTGGCAGTGGTGGTGGTAAATCAGAGAGAGGAGGGGGCTTCTTCTTCTCAGTTTGGGATCCAGAGATAGCAGTGATTTTTAACTTATGAGAGCTGTAGGAAGAGGAAGGTAGAGAATAATATCATCCATGACTGAAATTAAAAAGGAGGGAGCCGTGTAATCAACAGAAATTACAAGTGGAAGAACAGGCAATACCTTGATAGACCGCTAAGAGTGGGGAAATGTCGGTAATTAACAAGATGCTGGGCACAAGCCTGGTGGTGCGACTGACATTTCACCAGGCCTGCCACTGGCACCTTGTTAATTAGGTGCCATTTGCTGCCCTGGCTTGAAGGGGCTTCAGTGGCTCCAGGCCAAAAACCTTCATCGGATCCTGGCCAACATGGTGCTCACTCCTTTTCTAGAATCGCGCAGAAAGAAGGAAGAGCGGGGGGGGGGGGGGGGTGGTTGAGAATGCCAACACCCTGGATGAAAGTGTGTGTGTGTGTGTGTGTGTGTGTTAGTGTGGAAAAAGAAAGAAAAGTTACCTGCCGGCTGAGGAATGGCTTGACCTGAAAAAAGATGGTAGACAAAAAAGGTTACTTCTCTCTCAAAACGTTTATCTCAAACTACAGCAGCACCGGGGAAGCCCCATGGGAGCTGAGGTGGACGGTTGAGAGAAATGCACCCCTCCTGTCTGAGGGGATTCTGGATCCGACCAGATTGGAAATGGACTTTCTTTGTGTCATGGGGAGAGGAGGCCTTTTACTCATATACTGTCCAGGTACCCTGACCCCCCACCTTCCCTCCCTCTCTGGCCCAGGACTTCCCCTCACCTTTCTTGCTCTTCAGGTAGAAAGAGATGCCAGCAGCTGCAAAGGCCACCCCCATCACGATGGCCAGAAAGACCAGCCCCAGCACAACCCCAGCCACCCCTGTCCACATCTTGCTCCTGGCCGACTCCGACTGTGGCTCTGCAGAGAGAGAAGACGTTGGGGGGTCAGATGGGGGGCCAGGCTCAGCCTCAGCCTCCACCCCTCTTTCCCCCCACCAAGACCCAGATGACAAAGAAAAAGGGGATTAGAGCTGGTGCATGTGAGGATGGACTTAAGTTCATGTCTTACCCCACTGGACGGTGACGGGCTCCGGGAAGCTGGCGTGCTCCACCTGGCAGGCGTAGACGTCTCCCCGCTCCGGCTGGGCCTCCAGCATCACCGCCATCTGGAAGGTCCAGTCCCCGTTCCGGATCAGGTCCGTGGTGAACACTCGGCT